GATTTGCTTGGGCCCAATCCTCAAGTGAGTAACTCTTAACACAGCTTCCTTAGAGATACGACGCTTAGAGGCATTCAGTAATTCTTCAACCTGAGAAATTAACAATTGGTTAGCTTTCACTCTGATTTAACAACAATACCAGTCCCCGGACCCAGCAGAAAGCAAAGACACTTCGAATTGACGTAGTCCCTTGAAGAAGTTTTAAGCAAAAAGATCACTTTACAAAAGTTAGTGCGCCGGCGGCGGCTGGCTCAAGCCTGCTAATCCCAGCACTTGGGAGGCCGAGACGGGTGGATCACGAGTCAGAAGATCCGAGGACCATCCTGCTAACAACGGTGAAACCCCGTCTCAACTAAAAATACAAAAAAAACTAAGCCGGCATGGCATCGTGGCGGCGCCTGTAGTGACCCAGTTACGCGGAGCTGAGGCAGGGAAATGGCGCCAACCCGGCAGAGGAGCTTGCGTGAGCTGAGATCCGGCACTGCACTCCCAGCCCGGGCTACAGAGCCGAGACTGTCCTCTCAAAAAAAAAAAAAAAAGAAAAAAACAAAAAAAAAAAAAAAAAAAACAAAAGTAGGGGAAAGGACAGAGAAGTCATAAGAGACAACATAGTCCCCCGCACTGGTAACAGTGGGAACCTTTCACCTGGGGCTGACAAACACTTGCTCCTAGTGACCGAACCCGCTGAAGGAATGCAGAAAGGGCAACCTGACAGAAGCTGTGACCCTACAGCCAGCTCCCCAGGAGCCCCAAGGAATCCACACTCCACCTTATTCTCCCTGGCCCTTGGGATTTCCTGTCAGTGACTCCCATTGGCCAATCACAAGTCAGAGGGCAAGGGACCCACTGGTGCAGTCTTTATCAGTTAACTTCCCAGATCTGGAGGGGTAAAAAGAGCATAAGGCAGCACATGAACTCTACATGAACAAGGACTTACTGCACTTAAAAATTATACTATTTCGCAGAAAAAGGATCCCTGTCAGAAAAAGCCAAATTACCTTACAGATACATCAAGTTCTTCTTTTTCCATTTTTCTTTCACCCTCATCTCTACTGGTCAGTTCCATATCAGCATCCTCCACTGTCTTTTTCTCACCATTCTGGAAGTACTGCTGAAGGGCAGTGTACAGTTTAAACACTTGGCTGAAAGAAAGCTTACTGTAGGCCAAGATCATGTGACGCAGAAACAAACCTACAAAATAAGACCAGAGACAAGGGGAAAGCATTAACTGACATCCAGGCTACACAACGGCAACTCCACAACGGCAACAACTGTTTGCTGCAATTCTTCCTTCAGAAGAATAAGAAAGAGACACTTGCAGTTGCCATTCCCTCCTCCTGGAATGTTCTTCCCCAGTCCTTTACAAAGCTGGTTTCTTCTTATACAGGGCTCAATCTACCCACCCCACCTCCACCTGAAGGCTTCCATTTTACTTTCTTCATGGCTGTTACATTATCTGAAATGATATTTATGTGTTTACTTTTACCAACTGGCTACCCCAACCAGAGGTAATCTCCATAAGAGGAAATTCCATGTCTATCTTACACGTCCAGAGCCTGGCACATAGGAAGAGATAGAGAAACAGCTCACGCTGAATAACATAAAAATTACCATGCAAAAAAGCCAGAGGGATAGAGCATGGGATAAAGCTAATAGAAAAGCATCAAAGAAACACCATGTATGCCCTCACTTTGCATACTGTATCAGTAATGTATTTTTACTTACCTCTCTTCGTAAGTCTGGGCTGGTGACCCTCACTCACAGATGGACCATGCAGGCAAGTGATCCAGAAGACTGTGAGAGAAAGAGCTGGGAACCCCCAAAAACCCCAGGACCAGGCTCTGACTCTTACTATTGTAGACAAAACAGAAGGTGCTTTTCCATAGTTAATGATTTAAATATAGATCAAAACAGCAAGGCAATAAATACAAACTGCAACACCTCCAACATCCCCACTGAGTCTGTTCACAGATATAGCAGAGCAATGACAGACATGACTTAGAAAGCTGCTCACTTCAATGAAAATACTCTCTGCTCTTCTTAGAAGAGTTTCATACCTACTACACTTGTTTTGTGAACCTCTGGCTCAGTTCCAGAGAAAGAATCTGAAAGGTCATCAAAAAATTGTTCCATATCCTTCAACTCGCCTTCAGCCATCAGTTTGATTCTGAATGAGAAAATCGAGGTGCATATTTTAGAAAGGCCCTTTGAACAACTTCTCTCGTTTCATATTCCTCAATTATCTCGAATAATGTAGTTTACAGGCAATTCAGAGATTTGTATAAAATGGTGGCTCATAAAACAAACTTCATGATTCAAAATGTTACTCCCATATTTAGGAAAAGTATCGTTGTTTTCTTGATCATAAAATTTGTCAAACTATCACATCAACCAGTAAAAATGCAATTATCCGCAGTGACTGAAAAGAAGAAGATGGGTAAAGAATTATAAAATTTGGGGAAAAAAGCTATAAAACAGTATGTTTAATGTTATCAATTTTTCAGCCAAGTGCGGTGGCTCACACTTGCAATCCCAGCACTTTGCGAGGTAGATGCGGACGGATTGCTTAAGCCCAGGAGTTCAAGACCAGCCTAGGTAACACAGCAAAACCCCATCTCTACTAAAACTACAAAAAATTAGCCAGGTTTGGTGGTGTATGCTTGTAGTCCCAGCTACTCGGGAGTCTGAGGTGGGAAGATCACCTGAGGTCAGGAAGTCCAGGCTGCGGTGAGCCCTGATTGTGCCACTGTACTCCAGCCTGGGCAACAGAGTGAAACCTTGTCTCCAAAAAAAAAAGCTATCCATTTTTCAACAAAAAAAAAAAAACCTAAGTAAAAGTTCTTGGGAAAACAACCTAGAATAATAAAGGTATCTTTTTAAAAGAATTAACCACCACATACCCTTTTGTGATTTTCGTCTACCTTGACACCTTTTCATATATAAAGAAGAAAATGAAGTTTACCTGATCTGCACTGAATTTGCCAGTTGTGGACAAGATTCTTCAATTAACTTGTAAAGTTTTGACAGTGTAATATCTGGGCCCTGTGTAAAGGGGAGATAGGGAGGTATGGATACATTTTAAAGAGCTGGAGACTGATAAAGAATTGCAAACATAAATTCATTTATCAACCCCTCTGCTTTAATAATCACTCCAAATATGCAAATAAGGATTTTTCTATGTACCTAAAACACTAAAGTAATATTTCACATTTGCGTACCATTTTTGTCTAGTCAGTGGAATGGTTTAAAACAGAAAAAAAAACACAGGATTTATAGTCTGAGGATCCACTGTTCCTTCCTTCTTAATTTTGTAACCATGGCGAAATTGTGACCTCTGAGTCCTAGTTTCCTTCATCAACAAAATGGAGATAATAATATCTCCCTTGTTTTTGGCAAAGATTAAATAAGATAATACGAAGTGCTTTGTAAACTGGAAAACACTAAACAAATACTATTTTTCACAAACATAATCTCATTTGATCTTCTCCCAAACCTTGTAACATAGGCAGACATACTATGCGCTGAAGTCTATAAAGAGTACCACAAGAGGCCAGGTGCAGTGACTCACGCCTATAATCTCAACATTTTGGGAGGCCAAAGCGGGTGGATCACCTGAGGTCAGGAGTTCAAGACCAGCCTGGACAACATGGCAAAACCCCGTCTCTACTAAAAACACAAAAATTAGCCAGGTATGGTGGCACACACCTGTAGTCCCAGCTACTACTCGGGAGGCTTAGGCAGGAGAATGGCTTGAACCTGGGAGAAAGAAGTTGCAGTGAGCCAAGATCATGCCACTGCACTCCAACCTGGGCAACAGAGCAAGACTCCGCCTCCAAAAAAAAAAAAAAAAAAGTACCATGAGGAACAAGAGTATGCAACCTCAGCTACCAAGAAGATTACAGTCTAGTTGAGATTTAAAACTAAATACAGAATCTTTTTCAGAGAATAAGGTGACTGCATATATGCCAACTTTAGATGCGGATAACCCAGCAATTGCACTTCTAGGGGAGTTATTTTGGCATGCATTGTTTGAAATGAAGAAAAACTGAAAAGAGCCTGTAAGTCCAATAGAGACTTAATTTATAATACAGAGTTGAATTATGTTGCTTTTCTTACTGTGAAATATAATGCAGCCATTAAAAAGACCATTCAGGGCCTGGCGCAGTGGCTCATGCCTATAATACCAGCGCCTTGGGAGGCTGAAGCAGGCAGATTACTAGAGGTCAGGAGTTCAAGACCACCCTGGCCAACATGGTGAAACTCCATGCCCAGGCTGCTCTTGAACTACTAGGCTCAAGTGATCCTCCTACCTCAGCCTCCCAAAGTCTAGGCACCCAGCCAAAAATTAACTAATTTAAGAAGTCAAACAGTTAGTAAAGGAGTTGAGGTCTGGCTGGAATGCTACTACATGAATTCTACATACATTTTGATTAAAACTGTACAGCAGGGGGCCAGGTGTGGTGGCTCATGCCTATAATCTCAGCACTTTGGGAAGCTGAGGCAGGTGGATCCCTTGAGCCCAGGAGTTCAGGACTAGCCTGAGCAACATAGGGAGACCTCATCTCTACTAAAATTTAAAAATTAGCCAGGCATGGTGGCAGATGCCTGTAGTCCCAGCTACTTAGGAGACTGAGGTAGGAGGACAGCTTGAGCCCGGGAAGTGGAGGCCATGATAAGCTATGATCACGCCACGGCACTCCAGCCCAGATGACTGAGGGAGTGAGATCTCACCACTCTAAAAAAAATTTAAAAAACACAGGCCGGGCGCGGTGGCTCAAGCCTGTAATCCCAGCACTTTGGGAGGCCAAGGCAGGCGGATCACGAGGTCAGGAGATCGAGACCATCCTGGCTAACACGGTGAAACCCCGTCTCTACTAAAAAATACAAAAAATTAGCAGGGCATCATGGCGGGCACCGGTAGTCCCAGCTACTAGGGAGGCTGAGGCAGGAGAATGGCATGAACCCGGGAAGCGGAGGTTGCAGTGAGCCGAGATTGTGTCACTGCACTCCGGCCTGGGCGATAGAGCGAGACTCGGTCTCAATTTAAAAAAAAAATTAATTAATTAAAAAAATAAATTTAAAAATAAAAAATTAAATAACTGTATAGTAGTTAGCCAGTTTAAAAACCAGAAAGGAGAATTCTAAACAGCAAAAAACAGCATGAGCAGGAAGGTGAGAGTTAAGAGACCAGAATCACTGTTTTTTTCCTTTTTTTTTTTTTTTTTGAGACGGATGCCCAGGTTGGAGTGCAGTGATATGATCTCGGCTCACTGCAACCTCTGCCTCCTGGGTTCAAATGATTCTTCTGCCTCAGCCTCCCGAGTAGCTGGGACTACAGGTGCACACCACAATGCCCAGATAATTTTTTTGTATTTTTAGTAGAGATGGGGTTTCACCATGTTGGCTAGGCTGGTCTCGAACTCCTGACTTCAAGTGATTCGCCCACCTCAGCCTCCCAAAGTGCTGGGATTACAGGTATAAGCCATCGCACTCGGCCTTTTATTTACCAAAATTTTAGTATCCTAACTTTAACAATGGAGGGAAATGCATTTATAATAATAGCAAACGTGGCTAGCCCTGGGAGCTATAAGTTATAAAGACGCGCCTTTTATTTAACTGGGTAAGTCTCTTAACCGTGGTGTCCTCAGTTCTCCCCTCCTCCCATTCCCCTCACCCACAAATACAAGTGATAATTTTTTTAAAATCCTTTATAAACTATACTAAGGAATAGAAATGCAACTCTAGATACTAATTTTATTAAGTTTATCTCTTAAGATCCCATAATATGGAGGCCCAGGAACCCAGATCTGTTTCTGCCATCAGTATTACTCAACAGAGAATGCTTATCCATCAAGACACAGCTTCACACTTTCTGTAAGAAATCCTCGGGCCAGGCGCAGTGGCTCATGCCTGTAATTCTAGCACTTTGGGAGGCCGAGGCGGTCGGATCACGAGGTCCGGAGATCGGGACCACCCGGAGTGCAGTGGTGTTCCGGCTCACTGCAAGCTCCGCTTCCGGGTTCACGCCATTCTCCTGCTCAGCCTCTTGAGTAGCTGGGACTACAGGGCCCCGCCACCATGCCCAGCTAATTTTTTTGTATTTTTAGTAGAGACGGTTCACCTGTGTTAGCCGGGGTGG